TGGAAACAGGGTCAGGGAGAAGTAATTTTTAAAGGAGGGGAGTTATTTGAGTATGTGTGTAAGCTGATAGCAGTGAATGAGTGTAGTGACTTTCTAAAGACTGGTGGAGCAAGTGACTGCGCTGGAGTATGTAACTGTAGGCTTGAGTCTTTGAGAGGAATTGGGACATTTCTTCCACAATAATAGGAGGAAGATGATAGTGGTAAAAAGATGAGGCAGTTTCTTACTAATTTCTTCTATATTCTTAGTGAAATATTGAAGATATCACTGAGGAGAAGGGGATATGAGGCAAAAAGATATACAAAGAAATCTAAAAAGAGCAGCAAGTGTGAAATAATAGTTCTGGAGAATGGAAATTGAAACTGTCAGGGAAATGTAACAGTACTGTCTTATGGCACTGAGTGGTTATTCGAGATTTTTGTTCAATAATTTAAAAGTGAGATCATTTAACAAAGGGATATAATTTCTATGAGCAATATTTATCTACTCAGTTCAGGCACAGGATACACAGATAATTGAGCTTGATCAGAGTTGAATATTGCTCAGAAAGCAAGGGGCAGGGGGCGCCTGGGTGGCTCAGTCGTTAAGCGTCTGCCTTCGGCTCAGGTCATGATCCCGGGGTCCTGGGATCAAGCCCCACATCGGGCTCGCTGCTCGCAGGAAGCCTGCTTCTCCCTCTCCCACTCCCCCTGCTTGTGTTCCCTCTCTCGCTGTGTCTCTCTCTGTCAAATAAATAAATAAAATCTTTAAAAAAAAAAAGAAAGCAAGGGGCAAGGACTTTAAGGATATTTTATGGGTGGGTGGGGGTTATAATTTTGAGCCACAGATTACAAACTTTGTAACAAAGGAAAAGAAGTGAGGCAAAATGTACTTCCTTCCAGTCTTTTTTTTATTGTTTATAAAATTGATATCACATTACATAAAGTTTTGTCTAACATTTTCCCATTTCAGTAGTCTTCAAAATATTATTTTATTTATTTATTTTTTAAAGGTACTCAACCAGAGATCATGTTTCCTTTATTTTATTGTATGTTTTAAAGTAAGCCCAATGTGGGGCTCGAATTCATGACCTGAGATCAAGAGTCACATGTTCTACTGACTGAGCCTGCCAGGCGTCCCTCAAAATATTATTTTAAATGGCAACAGTACATTTCAACACACAGATATATCATAGTATATGTTAACAATCTCCCTTTTGTTAAACATTTAGATCATTTAAAAATCTTTATCACGTGTAACACTCTCACATGTGTAACATACTTGTAAAACATCTTTTCCCTGTCTCTGATTACTTTTTTAGGAAGTATTCCTAGGAGTGCAATTACTGGAGTCAAAGAAGATGTATATTTTTTTAATTAAAAAATAACTGAAACAACTTCAAGGTACAGAAAAGTTTGAAGGACAATACAAAAAAACTTTTTTTTATCTCTGAACCGTTTGAGTAAATTGCTGACATGAAGTTCCATTATTCCCAAGTACTCTAGTGCATGTTTCCTACAAAGATATTCATTTGGATTATATGCCTTGACCAAATGGAATTTATCACAGGAATGCAAGGTTGATTCAACATATGGGAACCAATGTACTAGACTATACTAATACAATAAAGGAGAAAAACCACATGGTCATTTCAAGAGATTCAGAAAAAAAAAATCTGAAAATTCCAACATCTTTTCATGATAAAAACACTCAGCAAACTAGGAATAGAAGGGAACTTCCTCAGATTTAAAAAGGGCATCCACACAAAACTCCAGCAAATTCTATAATTAATGGTAAAAAACTAAAAGCTCTTTTCCTAAGATCAGGAACAAAACAAGGATATCTGCTCTCTCCACTTCTATGCAGCAGTGTACTGGAAGTTCTATTCAGGGCAACTAGGCAAGAAAAACAAGTACAAGGCATCCAATTGATAAGGAAGACATAAAATGATCCCTATTTGCATATGACATGATTGTGTACACAGAAAGCCCTAACAAATCCACATATGCACACACAAAACTCTACAGGTGAAAAAACAAGCTCAGCAATGTTGCAGGATACAATAACAATATGCAAAAATCATTGTTATTTCTATAAATTAGGCTTGAGAAATCAAAAAAATGAAATTAAGAAAATTCAATTTACGGGGTGCCTGGGTGGCTCGGTTAGCGGCTGCCTTCCGCTCAGGTCACAGTCCCAGGGTCCGGGGATCAAGCCCCGCGTCAGGCTCCCTGCTCTGCGGGAAGCCTGCTTCTCCCTTTCCCACTCCCCCTTCTTGTGTTCCTTCTCTCTCTCTCTCTCTGTGTCAAATAAATAAATAAAATCTTTAAAAAAAAAAAAGAAAATTCAATTTACAATACCATCAAAACTATAATACTTATGAATACATTTAACAAAAGAAGTCAAGATTTGCACACAAACTATAAAACATCATTGAAAGAAGTAAGAGACTTAAATAAATGGGAAGACATCTATGTTCATGGATTGGAAGACAATATTAAAGACAGCAATACTCTTTATAAGGTTATAAATTAGCATAAAATCATCTAACTTAAGTTTTTAAATATTTTATTACCAAAATAATGTTTATTGTAGATCATATGCAAAATAGAAGTGAATACAAAGAAAAAAATAAAGAAAGCAACACTCTCCAAAGTGATCTCTGGATTCAATGGAATCCCTTTCAAAATCCCAGATAATTTTTGCAGAAATTGATAAGCTGATCCTAAAATTCAAAGGATGTTATTAAAAAAATGAAAACACAACCCATAGAATGGAAGAAAATTGTAAACTATGTATTCAGTAAGGGTCTAGTACCCAAAATACATAAGGTACTCTTATAACTCAATGATAAAAAGGCAAATAACACAATTTAAGAATGGGAGAAGGATCTGAACAGACATTTCTCCTATGAAGATATACAAATGGGCAATAAGCACATGAAAGATGTTCAACATCCCTGGTCACTAGGGAAATGCAAATCAAAACCACAATGAGATATCACTTCACATCCAGCAAGATGGCTATAATCAAAAGGAAGGACAATCACCAGTACTGGTAAGGATATAGAGAAAATTGATGGTGGGAATGTAAAATGGTACCATCACTTTGGAAACCAGTCTGGTAGCTCCTCAAAAGGTTAAAGGCAAAAAAATAAAATTAAAAAAAATTTTTAAAAAAAGGTTAAATGCAGAATCACCAGGTGACCTAGCAATTCTTTTTTTTTTTTCTTTCCAAAGATTTTATTTATTTATTTGAGACAGAGAGAATGAGAGAGAGAGCACATGAGAGGGGGGAGGGTCAGAGGGAGAAGCAGACTCCCCGCAGAGCAGGGAGCCCGATGCGGGACTCGATCCCGGGACTCCAGGATCATGACCTGAGCCGAAGGCAGTCACTTAACCAACTGAGCCACCCAGGCGCCCTAGCAATTCTACTTCTAATAAATATATATCCACACAAAAACTTGCACACTAATGTTCACAGAAGCATTGTGCATAAAAGCCAAAGAGTGGAAACAACCCAAAGTCCATTAATTGATAAATGAATAAACAAAATGTGGTATATCTATGTAATGGAATATTATTCAGCCTAAGTCAAAGAAGCCAGACATAAAAGGTCACACACTGTAGGATCCATTGCTATGAAATGTCCAGAATAGGCAAATCCACAGACAGAGAGTAGATTAGTGCTTGTCAGAGGCGAGGTGGAGGGAGTAATGAGAGACAGTTAATGGGCATGAAGTTTCTCTTTGGGGTGATGAAAATATTCTGTAATTAGATAATGGTGATGGCTTCACAATTTTGTAAGTGTACTTAAAACAACTAACTTACATACTTTAAAATGGTTAATTTTATGGCATGTGAATTAAACCTATAAAATAAAAAGATATTCACCTATGTATCCACAATACTACCAACAAAATCAGGATATTAACACTGATTTACCATATAATCCTCAGACCTCATTTAAGTTTTCTAAGTGTCCCAATAATATCACAAATGTAAGCATACACACACACACAACCATCCAGTCCAGAATCATACATTGTATTTAGTTGTCATGTCTTTGTGGTCTCCTTCAATCTTAAACAGTTCTCTAGTCTTTTATTATTTATTATAAATATGTGTTGAATATCAGAATCAATCCTAAGAATTAATTCTTATACATTTAAATAGCTGTAATTAATAATTCACAGATCCTTCTGGAATAGCACTGTCCAATCAGCAGCCACTAGTCTTATATGGCTACTGAGCACTTGAAATAAACCTAATCTAAATTGAGATATACACCTATTTCAAGACATGAAACATTTCATTAATAAATTTTTATACTGATTACATGTTGAAATAATATTTGAATATATTGGGTTAAATAAAATATATTATTATAATTGATTTTACCTATTTCTTTTTAACATGGCCTTTCTTAATGTGGCTACCAAAAATTTTTAAATTACATACATACTCATATGATATTTCTACTGGACAGTGCTGTTCCATGAGTTTCTGGGTTAGCAATTGGAAATAAAGAGGTCAAAAGACTGAGGACTAGATATATGGCCTCCTAGAGCAAGGACAGTAAATAAAAATCCTTGCATAGCTCTAAAATTTTGCTAGCTAGAGGAATCATCCATTCAAATGGATGCCATAAAAGAGACATGAGGAAATACAGGCATCGAAGAATATATTATATTAGTGAACTGTCTTTTTAAAATGTCTCCAGGGGTCTGTACTCTCTAATCCTGCTCTAACATTATGCATGTCTGTACAGAGGAGGACAAAAGCTACAGTGCTGTCACTTGTTTTCTCTATGGACAGCTAATTTATTTGCTCACCTCTTTATTCCACCTAGTCAATTTGAATCCTCTGGCCTAAATTAAAATCTCCAGAGATTTGTAATCTCTTTTTTTCCCTTTGGTCTCTTATATCAATAGCACCCTCTAGTAATGTACTCTTTCCTCAAATCTGAAGTGTCTCTGGGTGAAGAGAAGTAAGCATTTAGTTAATTTTGTTATTACTGACCTGCATTTCATATTTCAGAGTCATGTGGAAGCACCAGGATCCCATTCCTACCACTGAAATTAAAACAAACAAATAAAAAAAGACGATTAGCATGAAATTCTTTGGGGCTGGCCAGAGTGACGTGAGAAGATAATAAGACAATGCAAAGCACTGAATTTTAAGAACAAAGTTTATGAAATCTATGGCAGGATACAGCAGACCCTGCATAAGTTCTATAATTGATGAAATTTTGGTATAGAAAAAAAAACCCCAAGTACAGTATAAATTCTCATAAATTCCTTCCACTAAGTGGACTTACTAGATTAATCAATAGTCTCCATTCTTTCTGTAAAATATACTACCTGATACTCAGAATAAGCTTTTTTTTTTTTTAAAGAAGACAGAAGTTCATTGACTACACCGCAAGGGAGTGGTGGACAGGGCAGCAAAGGAGAGACTGCCTCTCAGGATAAGCTTTACAGCTTAAACATTACAGGATAATGCTTACAGCTAGTTAGCTACTCTAGTACTTCCTTGCACATTTATCCAAATAGCTGAATTGTATACTTACTAAGAGCCAGACAGTTATATTTGTTCCCAAACCTGTTAATGCCACTGTATTAAGTTATCAGAAATATGATTTCAAAAAGTGAGCTGTTGTTTCTACAAAAACTATTTAAAATGCTTAAAACAGACTCAATAAAAGAGAGTTGCTAATAAAAATTGCTGTTGAATTAAGTGTGGGTAAGATACCTGTTAGATTGAGAAAAATAGTAAAAATCTAAAGATTCCATATTTAGGTCTCAAAGTTCTTCCCAAGTGCCTCTATTTTAAATAAACTATTTTCATTTTAGGGTTTTTAAAAATTTTTGTTTTTTAATGAGAGAAAAGCTAAGTAGAACTATAATTAGGATCCCAAGGCCATGCCATATATCAAATAATTGTCAAAGATTATTTAACCATGTTTTAATTAAAAAAAAATTTAAGGTAGGTATATACATAATTTTACAATAATTCTGTTCTGAATTTTTAAAAATTAGCTGACCAAATTATCAGTCCCTATTACACCTGACAAAAAGGCTTCTACATTAAGTTGAATTCAACAAGCATTTACTGAGCACCTCCTATTTGCCAAATTCAGTTACAGTTACAAAGATAAGATCTAATCATTGGCCTTAATAAAGCATACAGTCTAACGGAAGAGACAGGCAGATAAGATGCCAGTAGGTGAAGATATGATAAAGAGATATACAGAGTACCATAGGAGAACAGTAGAGGGCACTTATGAAGGAAGAGAAAAGAAACCAGGGGCGTTAGCCTTAAGGATGTATAAGAGTTGGCCTAACAAACATGGTAAATGGAGGTGTCACTAAATAATTTGTACAAAGCCACTTGAGAAAAATTTCAAAAATTTGTTACTCTTACTTTTTAAAAAAGATTTTATTTATTTATTTATTTGAGCACACATGTGCAACATGAGTGGGGGAAGGGGCAGAGGAGGAAGAAAAGGGAGAGAATCTCAAGCACACACCAAGGTGAGCATGGAGCCCAGGACAGGGCTTGATCCCATGACCCTAAGATCATGACCTAAGCCAGAACCAAGAGTTAGATGCTTAACCGACTGAGTCACCCAAGTGTCCCTTGTTACTCTAGCTTTTTTTTTTTTTTTTAAGATTTATTTACTTATTTGAAAGAGAGAGCACAAGCAGAAGGGTCAGAGGAAGAGGGAGAGAACCTCAAGACTCCAAGCTAAGCACAGAGCCCAAGACAGGGCCCGATCTCACGACCCTGAGATCATGACCTGAGCAGAAACCAAAAGTTGATGGCTTAACCAACTGCACCACCCAGGTGCCCCATTACTCTTGCTTTTTTTTAAAAAAAATCACTAAATACATTATCACATTATTTTTTACTATTCAACATGAGATGACAGAAGTAAACAGTTACTGCACTCATTTTACTAAAGAAATAAGGAGGCAGGGGTGGGTGGCTCAGTCAGTTAAGCATCTGCCTTCAGCTCAGGTCATGATCCCAGGGTCCTGGGATCAAGCCCCACATTGGGCTCCCTGTTCAAGCAGGGAGTCTGCTTCTCCCTCTCCCTCTGCCCCTTCTCGTGCCCTCTCTTTCTCTCGCTCATTCTCTCTCAAATAAATAAACAAAACCTTAAAAAAAAAAAAAAAGGAAAAAGAAATGAGGAAGCAGAATGGTTGATGTCTTTTTTCCAAAGGAGAAATTAGAAAGTGCAAAGGTGGGTAAATTAATGGAAAGGAGGGGGAGCCCACAAACTTTGTGAGTTAAAGTCATATAATATACTATGAAATAAAAAAAATAAAATGCAGTGGGATGACTATTCATTCTGAAAAGTAGACTGGCCACTTAATCGTGCTTTACTCAAGAACTGTTTTTGTCCAAACCTTTTCAAATATGCTCTTGTACTCTTTATTATATAGCATTAAAAGTCTGATTTTCAGGGCGCCTGGGTGGCTCAGTTGGTTAAGCGACTGCCTTCAGCTCAGGTCATGATCCTGGATTCCCGGGATCGAGTCCCGCATCGGGCTCCCTGCTCAGCGGGGAGCCTGCTTTGCCCTCTGACCCTCCCCCCTCTCATGCTCTCTCTCTCTAGCTCATTCTCTCTCTCAAATAAATAAAAAAATAAATAAAAATAAAAGTCTGATTTTCAGAGATCTCTACAATTTACTTCAAGAATCTACTTAGAATGCAAAGAAATGTATAGAAGAGCATCACCTTTCTCTACACAATGTTTTCTATTTTTTTTTAAGATTTTATTTATTTATTTGACACACAGAGAGAAAGCACAAGTAGGCAGAGAGGCAGGCAGAGAGAGAGGCAGAAGCAGGCTCTCCACTGAGCAGGGAGCCCAATGCGGGACCCGATCCCGAGACTCCAGGATCATGACCTGAGCCGAAGGCAGTCGCTCAACCAACTGAGCCACCCAGGCGCCCCACACAATGTTTTCTATTTTGCCGCTTTAAAGCAAACATCAGTTTTTGCTAAAGTTTATCAGCTTTATTGACATATAATTCACATACTATAAAATTAATTTAAGGTGCACAATTCAATTGTTCTTAAATGTTCAGACTGCGCAACCATCATCATTATCTAATTTTAGAACAGTTTCATCAACCCAAAGAGAAATCTCATATCCACTAGTAGTCACTCCCTATTTCTACTCAAATCTCCCCACTCCTTAGCCCTAGACAACCACTAATGTATTTTCTGTCTTTATAGATTTGCCTGTTCTGAACTTTTATTATAAATCCATTCACCAGTTGATGGACCTTGTTACAAATTGCATGCTGTGTCCCCACCCCACCAACTTATATGTTGAAGCTTTAACCCCAAATGTGATGGTATTGGGCATGGAGCCTTTAGAAGGTAATTAGGTTTAGATGAGGTTATGAAGGTAGGGCCCCCATGATGGGATGAGTGTACTGAGACTCGATCCCGGGACTCCAGGATCATGACCTGAGCTATCTTTTCTCTGAGGAAAAGATAGGACCTCACTCTCAATCTGCCTGCATGCATCAGGAGAGGCCATGTGAGGACAAGCAGAAGGCAGCCGTCTGCAAGCCAAGAAGATCTCATTAGGAACCGAATCAGCCAGCACCTTAATCCTGGACTTTCCAGCCTCCAGAACTGTGAGAGATAAATGTCTGTTGTTCAAGCCACCCAGACTATGGTATTCTGTTATGGCAGCTCAAGCTAAGATAGACATTTAGGTTTTTTCCACATTTTGACTATTCTGAATAACACTACTGTGAACATTCACGTGCAAGTTTTTGTGCAGACTTGTTTTCATTTCATTTCTCTTGGGTATACATACCTAAGAGTGGAATTTGTGGGTCATATGATAACTCTGTGTTTAGCATTTTGAAGAACTGCCAAAGTGTTTTTCAAAAGCAGCTGCATCATTTTACACCCTCATGAGCAATATATGAATTTCTCCACATCCTCCCAATATTTGTTATTGGCTGTCTTTCGGATTATAGCCATCCTAATGTACTGAAGTGGTATTCACTGTGGTTCTGATTGGCATTTCCCTAATGACGGCTGCATGCCCCCCTCTTTTTTTCTTGTAGAATGCTCTATATTATAGACTAGTCTATTTTTTAATGGACTTTTTAAAAGCAGTTTTAGGTTCACAACAAAACTGAGGTACAAAGATTTTCCATACAAACTCTGCCTCCTCATGTGCACAGCCTCCCTCACTATCAAGATCCCCTACCACAACGGTACATTTGTTACAACTGATGCACCTACATTGGTATATCATTATCACCCAAAGTCCACAGCTTATATTTTATGGTTCACTCTTGGGTATGGACAAATTTTACAAAGACATGTATTCACCGTTATATTATAGAGAATGGTTTCATTACCCTAAATTCTCTTTGTTTTGCCATTTCATCTCTCTTTCTATCTGAACCCTGGCAACCACTTATCTTTTTACTGTCTCCATAGTTTTGCCTTTTGCACAATATTATATACTTGGAATCATATAGTATATAGTTTTTTTCAGTTAGCAATAGGTATTCTTTCACTTAATAATAGGCATTTAAGGTTCCTTCTTGTCTTTTCATTGTTTGATACCTCACTTCTTTTTAGCACTGAATAAATATTTCATTGTCTAAAGGTCTAACAGTTTATCTATCCACTCACCTACTAAAGGACATCTAAGTTGCTTCCAAGCCCAGCCTTGTAAATAAAGCTGCTATAAATACCTGTGTGCAGGTATTTGCATGAAGATAAGCTTTCAACCCTTTTGGGTAAATACCAATAAGTGTGACTGCTGAATCATATGGTGAGAGTATACTTAATTTTGTTTTTTTTTTTTTTTTTAAAGATTTTATTTATTTATTTGGGAGAGAATGAGAGAGAGCACATGAGAGGGGGGAGGGTCAGAGGGAGAAGCAGACTCCCTGCCGAGCAGGGAGCCCGATGCGGGACTCGATTCCGGGACTCCAGGATCATGACCTGAGCCGAAGGCAGTCGCTTAACCAACTGAACCACCCAGGCACCCTAGTATACTTAATTTTGTAAGAAACCATCA